CGGTCAGCCATGCCTGGTGCTGTGGTTGTGGGTGATTATGTCGTTGAAAATGGAGATGGTAGGTTCTCAGATGATAGGGAAGGTAGCATGGGCGATTCGAACGGGGGCCATGGTGGACAACCCTCTTCTTGTTTCAGATGATTGGTTCAATTGAAAATGCACGGGAGCCAAGGCCTCGTTCTAGAGCATGGACAAGGCATCGTCGACCAGCAGGAGGTTCATCTGACAGACGCTATCTGTGGGGTGAGAATTTGTTGGGTCTTCGTGACAACCATGATGCTGATGAAGATATGCGCATATTTAGTGATGCAGGTGAAGATGCATCTCCTGTACCAAGAAGAAGGCGACGCTTGACCCGGACAAGGTCCAATGGGGATCGTTTATGAGGTTTGCTGATGGCCATCATTGTTTCTGGTAAATTAACGATTCAATTTCTCAGGAGAAGCATTTATTAGCAGAATATGTTTCCAACTTTCCGTTAGCTTACCCAGTTGGCTTTTTCTCTGTAAATTGTTTAAATAGCATGCAGGACATTATTCAAGCGTTGGCTTTGATCTCACGGAGCGTGATGATGATGCTTTATGGAATGAAAACTAGGGAGATCGATGAGCCAGTTTCTCGTAGTCCTGGTATCTACGATTTTCATAAAGGTCCCTTCTGCCATCCAAGCACTTAGCTTAAGGGATATCAAAGTTATTGGTAAATCGTGTGTTTGTTAAGTAGGCATAGTTGGATTGGCCCCGGGGGGAAAGAAAAGGTAGTCATATTGGCATAATCTATCAATTAACTTAATACTTTAGATGTATATTTGTCAATCTTTCTATTGATTGAACCATTGTTTCCAAGCATGTGAATAGTGTTGATCCCGTTTTTGAGTTATTTGTGATTTGTGATTTGTGATGCTACAATTATAGAATCATGTCACTTTGAATTTATGGATGTGTGAGTATGACTCTTTGGGTCAGATGTGTGAGTTGACTCTTTGGGTCAGATGTGTGAGTTTGACTCTTTGGGTCAGGTGACCTGAAACAATTGAGATTTATGCTTGAGACGCATGGAATCTTATTTTATTTTGATATGCATTTTGATTGATATGAAATATCTTTAGTGAAAAAGTCTAAACTGAATAAAAAGTGAGACTGAAAAGAAGACTCTAGATTTAAAAAGAATATTTCTGTAGTTTCATAAAACAAAATAGAGTCAATGTATTTTTCCTTATAAATGGATGACTTCAAAATCAGCAATTCTAAAGTTAATACATTTTGGATTGTAAAGAAATAAAATTAAGTAGGCTGGGGTAAGAATTAACTCCCTCTGTTTTAAATAACTGTCATTTTAAATTTTGCACAAGGATTAAAGAATTTTTTTTTTTTTGGTATACAGGATTAAAGAAGTTAATAAATAGCCTGAATTTCGATTTTTGACAAATATGTAATGGTATTTCACTAAAAAATTTATTTACTAAAAACACTTCATCATTAACAAGCATTTTTAATTTGTTGTAAGGTAAAATTAAAGCTCTTTTGTTTTGGCCATCGGAAAATGAAGTTATATGAAGTAAATGAATAGGTGGAGAAATGTTTTGAAAAAGTAAAATAAATTACATATTGTGACTTTTCATACTCCGGCTTTGGATATTAGTGTTATTCAAAAAATATCTTAAATTGTTGAATACGCAAAAAAAAAAATAGTTTTGGGGTATTGTTTTTAATTCTTATAGATGAGGCAAAATTGTTTTTTTGTTGATTTATATATGAAGGAAAGTTAATTCAAGAGTTTGACTTCTTCCCTCCCCTATCTAAAAGAAGTTAATTATCATTGTTAGCAAAGAATATTCATAATTCATAAATTCAACCTAAAGAGTTGTAGCATTAATTAATGAAACATAATTTTATTATAAAACGTGTATGCAAAAAAAGATAATTACTACTAGCTTGTGATCTTTAATATAAGAGTTAATTAATTTATTTGAGTAAATTAAGAAAACTAGTTAAGTTAATTGTTTATAATAAATATATTGTGTTTTAAAATATACTTGCTAATCAAGTATATTATTGGTTAAAATTACTATTATTATAAGGATTATCTTAAAAAATAGATAAATATGAGAAATAAACTATATTAGAATTTTATATTTAAAACTAAAATAATAATCAAACGAGTTTTTATATTAAAGATTAGATGTAATATTAAATAATACTCCTCCGGTCCTTATTATAAGATCCAATTTGACTTTTTATTTGGTCCTAATTATAAGACCCAATCCATTTTGTTTCTTATATTTATGCATTTTTTTCCAAGATAATCCTTCTAATAATGATAGTTTTAGCCAATATACTTAATTAGTAAGGATATTTTAAGAATGACAATACTTATTTATTATAAATAACCAACTTAACTTACTTCTTTAATCTCCTCAAATAAGTCAATTGGGTCTTATAATTAGGACCGGAGGAGTAATAAAGATAATTTTGTCAACATTTCGCCGCAGGCATACCAAACGCCCCAACGGTTCTCTGTTGGTTGTCGCCTTGTGGGGATGAAAAGCAAAAGGTTGGAAAAATTTTAGAATCATAAATTTTATGGTTGGTATAAAAATACAAATTTCCCGACTATTATAGAATTTTTTTTTGGCTAACAAATATTAAAGAATTAAATATAGTTCCTTCCAGAATATGATACCCAACAAAAAAGAAATATTTTTGAATGATAAAACAGGCATTCCTTCTTTCTTTCTTTTTTTCTTTTCTTGTCTTGTTATGTATCTTCTATGGGAAAGAATCTTATTTAAAATACCATTGGACCCTAAATGTAAATCCTTTTTTTAACGGGATTTGAATTTTTCATTTTCTACATTGTTAAGGATTAATCCTTCTACTAAACTTAGCCGTTAATTTTTTTCCATGAATCCGCATATACCCTAATATAATCCGCTAGATTTTTGAAGAAAAAGACTGGGCAGTCTGTGAAGAAGCCACATCACGATCCGAACAAAGCAGTGATGCACAAAGTGACACATCAGAGGCTTCCTATCCATCATACTCAATCGAAGAAGAAGCCAAGAGAATATTACGAGGGAACCTCAAAAGCACGAAAGTGAATGTGTGTGTATTCTCAATCGCCATTTTTAAGTGCTTGTGCGTCACTCAGCCCCATGTGACAGCGACGCCTCCCTAATTTGTATCCACAGTACCTCATTTGCTTCCTGAAATATCTTCTGCGGCGTCCCCCACATGCTCAACTGCTACATTCCATTAATTAACATCTGCATGTATTATAGCATGACACTTGTGCCTGCCATCCTCCTCCTCCAAATGCATCTTTCAGACAAATTTAATTTCCCTTCTCTCTTGCTTCTTAATCAGCAAGATTGAGCTTCATGGTCCATGCATGTGCTTGCACTTTCTGTTCGAAGTTTTCCATGGCACTTGTGCCATTATCATGTATATAGTATTAGAATACATATGAATGCTTAACTGTGGCCGAATGAGCTTCAGCTTGAATTTCAAGTTGTGGCCTCTGAATCTATATATATTTTAGTCTCTAGTTCAAAGTTTGACCTAACCTGACTCACAAATATGTATAATTTGGATCACACCAGTAGCGTATTATTAAGACATTTTTCTGTCAACTAAATGACACTGTGTAATTATGAAATACTAAACCAGTTAGCATTGGCAATCATAAAATGTTTGTTTGTTTCATCAACTTAGGATAGTACTTAATTGAACTATCTAATTATAAGACTTTGTTTGTAATCTTCAAACGATGTCTTATAAATAAGACTCAGGGTAGTATTTCATTAAATTATATATGAAGATGCCTTTGCTTAAACTAAATGAATACTCTCCCAATGGAATCACCGGCTAAAAGTTTGAGAAACAGTTTTTCTCAGGGTAATGTGCATCAAATTTTGAAACCCCTAGCATAACCTGGGTGATGTAGATCTCCATTTGATGGGCTGGGGTCCAAACACACCACAGGCATACAAGTTTATGGCAAGGAACAAGGCCACGAAGGCTAAACACATGCGTTTCTTAAGTAAATCAAAGTCTTCCCATCTGAACAGTTCCCATTGGGCTCTCCTATATAATATATTCCTCCCATGTTACTTCCGAATCATAAGCCAACCAATTCCCCGCTCACTGCCTGGTTGTCTCCCATTCTTCCTTAGACTCATCGCACTTTTATTTTGTCTTATTCTCGCCAAAGTCCTCACAGACTAGACAGGAATCCTAGGCTTCCAGACAGCACACACATAGATCTGTAGTGCTGTTCATTTGACTGATAAAGTCATCACACAGACCCACTTCCCCAAAATACTATATAAGTGAACATGCAGGTATTGCTCTTGTCATGTGAAGATAAGATAGTAGGATCTGTAGAAACTAGAAAGAAAAGCATTATTGTCATCAAACCTGATAGAGATAGTTCCTTTTTGGTGCTGAATGGCAGATCCTTCAACGGCTCTTCAAATTGGCACATGAGAAAGAAAGAGAGATCATCTTTAGTCCTGCAGCCTCCAAAAGGGAAACCGTCGGAGGTAAAGGTATATTCTTACTGTCGTAGAGTTAAAATTCTTAGGAGGTGCTTGGTGTTGGTTGCACTTTTATCTGACATTCCACTATCATGGTATTACATATTGAACATGCCTTATTAAATCTAGTATCGTTCTGTCAAAAAGAGAATACAAATGGTAATTTATCGAAGTCAACCAGGTTAAAGAGGCGTAATAGCGTACGTGCTAAACAAAGACGTTTTGGACGTGAAATGACATCTAAACTATGGTTTTCTAAATACTGAGCCTGCTTTTATTTCCGCATTTTCGATCTGAACTTAACATATGGTGTTCTTTCAGATCTGAACGCTCGATGGAAAAATATACTTCTACAGAAGCATCGAAGGGCATACAGACGAACAAGTGGTAGAGGAAGAAAGCATGGCTGGAACAAGAATGTAAGGATATTTGCATTCATATGTACGAAGGACATGCTAACTCTTGCCTCTGCAGCACTATTAAGTCAAAGAGAGTAGGAGACTATAACAGAAGACAACATTTTTTGCATTCTACGAAGATGAAGAGAGAAGAAATAGAAAGAGGAATAGAAAACAGTAACAAGGTAGATTCAGTTGCTCACGTGGGAAACAAGGTTTTGCCTATAGCTGAAGAAAGAAGTGAAGGCACCTCAGAAAATCCGGATCAGAACAGAGGCGATAGGAAGAAGACCATTTCAAGGATGAAAGAGCTACTTAGATGGGCTGCGGCTGTAAAAACAGAGAAAGGACGAAAACTTAGTGGAAGGAAGGTAAGTGTTTTAACTTCTGCAATGATCCATTACTATATATTTAACAGTGGACTTGAGAGTTGCTCTAGATCGCATTCTCAATGACACAAAATGATCACGGGTGAGAAGAAATTTCATACATGTGCACTTCATTGTTGCAACCTTTTCATTTATGATGTCCTTGATGCATACGGGGTAGAATAATGATGTTTCAACTACCAAATTAATGAAACAAAATAAAGGAAAGAGAGAAAGCCACGATGGTGCATGAGACTGTTGAATTGCAATAAGAGACTGACCAAGGGAACAAAATGGCCATTGAATTCTTATCAGGCACTGAGGTTCAGAAGAGGAGGAACCCTTAAAGCAGTTCAGGACGATGGAGAAGTAAGCAATGAGTCACCCAAGATCAGTTTCGGATGGGAATTGGAAAGCTGCTCCACCACTTCCTCTGCCTTCTCAGCTATCTCAGTAGCTTCCACGTCAAAAACTGAGCAATCCATACCTTCATCGATTTCTAACCCGCATGAAGAAGTTGATTCTATCATTTATAGAAGGAAAGGCAACTGGATCACAACAGATTCTGAATGTAAGCCTAGCTTGTGCCCCTCTATATGGTTTCATCTCAGAAAACATTTTTTTGAGTATTTACTGAAATCAATTTTCAATCTTGAAAACCACAAAATACCTCTCGAGTATTAAAGATGTCATGAAAAGTAATCAACCTGGGGAGTTTTTTTTTTTGGGGGGGGGGGGGTGTGGTTTTCCAATTTATAAGTGGAAAGGTACATTGGTAAATAGTTAACGGGCTAGTTTATACTTTTTCTTAATTTTGTTTTCTAATCTTGATATATATTTTAGTATCTGAAACTCAAACTGGCCACGCGTTTCAACAAACACCTTGCTGAAACTATTCACTCTGTATTTTTCGAGCAGTTGTGGTGCTTGAACTATGAAGAAGAAGCGGGGAAGGAAGGTGTTCCATGCAAGGCTAGCGGTGAAAGTGCTAAAGAGAGATCAACTTCATCTAATTAATTACGTTGAATAGAGATCACCAAAAAGAAAAAGGTCAATGGGTTTTGTTCGTTTCCAGTTTCCCTGATCAGAAAGAGATTAAGGGAGATTCTTGCAACCGCTAGAAAATAGAGAGAAGACGAGAGATGTAGTATCATTGCCTCTTATGGTCCAAATACAGTAGGCATGGGGTCAAATGTATCTTCCCATGTGCAGGAAATGGCAAAGCTCATTAGGAGTTCGATCAAGCACATTAATAAATTGTTGACTGATCTAGAAGAAGCCACGTGCATATGTTGTCCTTTTTGGTGAAACTGGAACATAATGCTTTTGTTATGTTGAATAACTAAATGATATAATTTGATTTAATAACTTTTTTAAAAAAATAATGGCATGAAGTAGTCAAAATACATGTATATATAATAGTTTGGGAAAATTGCATTAAGATCCCACCACAGAGAAATAAATACAAAAAAGCCTTTTAAAATCATTAAATTAATCTGAAGTTTTAAGAAATTCATTGTAATCTGTAAGAGATTTCACTTGTTTAATTACTAAACTGCCCTTGTCTTTTTTTTTCAAATTATCATTTTTTTAGCAGTATGCGTTGATAACTGAAAAGGCAGTTGTTAATAACTTATTGTGCAACAATTAACAACTATTACAGTAAATATTAATAACATATTTTCTCAACACACCACAGGATTTCAAATTAAATATGCTTATGTGATATACTGACAAAATGTGTTATTAATACCTATCACGGTATATCGCGATAGTTATTAATTATTATACATTAAGTTGTTAACAATTATCCTTTTAATTATCAATGCATGTTTGAAAAGAAAGATGAAGGTGGTTGAATAAGTGGAATTTCTTATAATAAAGTCCATTAAAATTTCAGATTAATTTAATAATTTTAAGAGTATTTTATTTTTATTGAGTGAAACCTTAATGTAATTTTTCCTAATAGTTTTGGTTGTGATTTAAGAAAGGGATACAAGACATGCCAAGGGCAGCATGCCATAACCACTTAATGCTACTTATAGATATATAATTGCTAATATATGAGGGATGTAAAAAGCCCTCATTCGATACCAAAATTAATAGATATGGATTTTTATTTGGATTACTATTATTCTTAAGGATTAATATAATTTTTGGTTTCTTAAATTTGTTATTATTTTTATTTTAGTCTATCAAATTTTAAATTATAGGTTTTGATCCCTTTAAAAGATAAAATAGGCTAAGTATTTATTGAATTATAGAGGTTAATGTTTTAAATTTAAAAAAAATCTCAAGGTACCAAACCTATGATTTTTAATTCAAGAAACCAAAACTAAAATGAAAACAAACTTGAGAGACCAAAAATTAGGGAAAAAAAATTGGTCAAATTGCTTATATCTATTATGTCAAGTTCTCTAATTACATGTGGACATGTATTCTTTTCTGTTTCATATAAATTTATAATTAAATGTTATTAAATTAAATGCTAATATTTCAAAAATAAAACATATGATTATATATGATTGGAGAATTTGACATAACAAATATAAATAATTTGATGTAAGTATTGTCTCAAAACTTATATTAACCCTATTCTTAATAACTATTGTCGTCAATGGTTAGCTCATTTTCAATTATTATCGAAACTAAATAAAGATAGCTCTTTTAAAATATTTTTTATGCACAAAGTTCAAGTAATTTCTCCTAGTGAACTAAGTCAATATTAGTTAATTTGTTGTCAATTTTTTTCTGAAGTTAGAGATTAATTGGGGGAAAAAAATACGCCTACCTGTTCTCTCTCTTCATATATGACTTTAATGAGATGAGATGAGATGGGAAGTAAGTATGAAAAGAAATGCTTTGGCCAAAGATGAAGAAAAATGATGTTTGGAGTACATGTCAAATGAAGGAAAAAAATATTGTGCGATGTTTGGTACCACAAAAGGAATGAAAACAATTTAAAAGCGGACATGGAAATTTTATCTTATAAAAAAATGGGAGAATAAAAAAAATTAAAACTATTAAATGACAATTCTGGTATGGTAACAAACAATGCTTTAATAGGCGACAACACTAGACTTACAAATAACAACACATTTTGTAGAAATTCTTTATTTGAGATTTAGTGATTTCAAATTTTTTATATGATTCTCCCAAGAAATGCATGTTTAAATATTTAAAAAAAATATAATTTTCTTAACATTAATTTTTTATGGGTCAGTATAATGCTTAGTTTTTAAATTTGTTCTCATTTTGATTTTGGTCTCCCAAATTTCAAACAATAGCTTTTGGTTTCTCAAGGGATAAAATAGTTCAGGTTTTTGTTGAATTATAAAAACCATTATTTTAAATAAAATAAAAATTAAGGGATCAAAATCTATAATTTAAAATTTAAATAACCAAAACTAAAATGAGAGTAAATTTGAGGCACTTAAAAATTGTATTAACCCTTAACATAGGTTTGTCATTTTACATTGATTGCATTTTTAACCAACATAAAAAAATGTCAAATTTATTATGCAAATATATAAATAATTTTTTTAGTAGTGTTGGAAAAAAAATTAATACTCCTCTGATTTTATTTATAAGGTAAAGAGAGAAAATTTTTTTTCGTCCTATTTATAAGTTATTTTATTAAATTTTGGATATGAATATACTATTTTGTCATTCCTTTATTATAATGTAGTTAATTATTTTTTGAATGGTATATATATCAAATAAAGGTAAAGTTGAAAAGTAATTATATTTTAATGAAGGGTTAATGTAATTCAAGATTTTTCTTAATCTATATAAAATATACCGAAAATGTCTTATAAATAAGACCAAAAAATATTGTATATTTCCTCTCATCTTTATTATAAAAGACTGTTAACTAATTCATACGCACTAATAAAAAACAGTTAAATGCATTAAACTTATTTTAAAATTTAAGCAAGTTTTAATATTACCCTAATTAACTACATAAAATTCTAGCATCATATTGATATTTACTCTCTCACTGCCATTATTAAATATGAGCATATATGAAAAAAAAAACATATATATATAATGCTCATTAAAACTATTAAAACTATCACGGTATCTTATAAAAAGAATTAATTTTTTTTTCCAAAAGGGATCTTATAATAAGAATAAAAGGGTTTTTTTTTTTGGGGGGGTTAGCAGGAGGAAGTAGGTAGACTGTGTGATGTATGGATGAATATTCCACTTACTTGAATAAGGCGTATTTGACGTTGGCAACTGCCTGTCCCTGCCATAACATCTATTTAACGGACGTCCGTTTCTTTTTTCCACTTTGTAAATGTTACAAACTATGTTATTTAATGATTGTGATCTTTTATCCAAAAAAAAACTAATTTGAATAGATTAAAAAATAGTTAGATTATTTATTTATAAAAAATATGTGTTATTTTTGCTAAAATACCTATTTGAATTATTTTGATTGAAACTACCATTTGATACAAACTTTTTTAATATATGCAATCAGTAAGGTTAGTTTTGAAAAATAAAAGAGACAAAATACACTGATATTTTATATTTAAGTCTAAATTTAACTCATACTAACTCGTACATTAAGAATACATATGCATGTTTTTATGTCTAATTAAATATATTATGTTTGTCAGGCTCAATTTGATCACAATTAAATTATTAACTCTTAAATTAATGTCTAAAATAGTTTAATGATTGATTTGATTTTCAATAGAAAAAAATTATTAAAAAATACCTGTTGAATTTTAAAATGACACAAAGGTAATTGTCAAAATATCATAAAAATAGTCAAAATAATTATAAGAATATTCAATATTATTCCTCTTTTTTTAAATTTAACCGATTTTTTTTTTGTTATTCTTCCTCTTTGATACAATAAAAAATGAAAAGGTTTGAATTTTAGATTGAGAAAATAACGCACGGATGCCTTGTGAAAAAATTATTCATAAAAAAGGTCTTTTTTTGACCAGCAATATTCATAAAAAAAAGGTTCTAATAATACGAGGGATGTCAAAAAATCCTTACCCTGATAGTTCCCAAGAATAAAAGAGGATGGAAATAGAAAAACATTTTCCATTATTTGTTTGGTATCACTTTTGGTTCCAAAATCATTTTTCTTTGAAACAAAACTGAAAATTGCTAGCTCATAAAAAAAAATTGAAAATTGTCATACCACTTAATTTATGAGAGAGTTGTAATTAAGTCTCCAAGAGGGATTTAATTACATTAAGGTTGGTTGATAACTAAAGAGTATATAATGACAAGTTCTAGTGTAAGAAATGATATATGTTTTCCCTCTTTACTTGTTATTTAGATTTTAGGGTAATTACATTTTTTTTTGGGATCTAATTACAATTCTCTCTTAATTTATCCTCATAAAAACATGTAGATCCAAAATTGCCCTTGCTCCGAACCAAATGCAAATTCACTGTGCTTGTTTGGATCAATTATTGAGGCTCTAAAAGCTCTTTATTTTTTTGATAAGCCTGTTTGGAAAATTAGAAGGTGTTTGGCAAAGCTTATAAGTCATCTAATTTAAGTCCAAAAAACTGGATTGAAACAGACTTTTACGTAAGCTGATATTTGTAGCTCATAGGAGTCAAATCGGGCTTACTGTTGGAATTGTATATGTACGTGGGGTCCACCATCCAGTTCTGACCTTTCCCCTTCGTTCATTTCCCCCACCAGCCAATTGTTATTTGGGTACCATTAGGATAACTGTTGTTCTTTTTCTTCTTTTTTTAATTTGATTTTGTTTAATTAATTAAAAATTTAAAATTAAGCAGTAAATTAAAATATAAACTGTTTAAATATAATAATCCAAAGAGTTCAGGTTATGAAAAATAGTAGTGAGAAGTTACTCTTCTTCGATATGAATAAATTTTTTTCATTTTTTTATTTTATTTGTTGAAAATTAAAATGCTTTAAATTATGAAAAATGTATGATATTCGTATTCTATAATAAGTAAAATTCTTATAAGTTCATTTACAAATTTTATTTAACAAAATTTTATTTTAAAAAAATTTCCTTTTTGAGGTACCTCACATATAAAAGTTGTCTCAAGTTAAAAAAAATTATATAAAATTTCTCTTGGTAAAAAAAAATTTTATTTTAAAAAATATATATTACTTGGTTGATGCGAGATATTCAACACCAAATGGATATGTAGGTCCAATACCAAATTAATTTTAATTCATTATATTATGTCAAATTATTTTTTAATCATGTTTCATTACTTATTAAAACGCATACCCATTTTAATAATTTTACAAAGAATTTATTTTTACTCAATTATAATTCAAATAATTTTTTACAATCTCACTTTTATAAACTAATT